AGTATCTATGGTACTTTAAAAACAATTAAACTGAAACTGTGAACCTAAGTTATCAAAAAATTTATTTGATGATACAGTTGTATTCAACTCCTAAATCTTTCAAAAGTGTGAGATTCATGATTTTAGGTTACTTCTCACCTATGAGCAAGGAACTGCTGCTTTGCTTCTTCCAAGGAGAAAAACAGCCTGGCTTTTTTTATTGATTCAGTAAGCATATATGGAGACTTTAAAACTTAAGACTTAATTTCATATTACACTCTGGGTTGAAGCAAGAGAAAGAGGTTTAAACAGGAAAAAAGATGTAAAATTGGAACCATTTTTAGCTGATATCGTATTAATTTAAAAAATTGGAAAAAAACCGATACTACTTTTTTTTTTCCCAAAAGGAAAAAAACCTCAGCCCTCATTTATACACTCACACACGTAGCAAATGGCAACTGAATTGACCAAGAGATTTCCAAACCAACAGTTAAGGTCTGAGGCTTGTTTAATATGTTTTTACATTCCACTAGCACTATGAATAGGCAGATAATAGTATGCAGTTCTAAAAATACCTTTATTTGAGGTGGGTGTTTTTCCCCATAAATATAGCTTTGTACAACGACGTGCAAGGTAAGTTCTGAGTAGTAAACTGGGTGCTCTTGGAAACAAGAAGTATTCCTGTTTCTGGTTTGTTCAACATACAGTCGTCGCTCCATGTTGCGTGTTGTTTATAAATCTTTATTGAGCAGTTGGCTCCAGTTTCTCTGCAAATCCACTACCCTCAATTTCCAGGATTAAAATGGGTTTCACCAACTCGATTACCCCTACTATTGCAAAAAAACACTTCTTACTTTAAATTATTGCTCAAACCACCCTGCTTGTGGAAAAATCAAGGGTACCAAAGAATCATGGAGGAAGGAGTTAAGGATGCTTCACTGAGGTGTTAAAAACTGAACAAACAAAAAAGCCACCCAGAACTCAAATCTCTTCCACCTTCATACCTGGTGCCACAAATACTTAAGCACGTGAGAATCTTCATGATTAACCTAATTGAAGACCCAACTAATCCAGGGAAGCCTGCAGATACTCATATGGGTAAAAATATTTTTCATTTGATTGTGACTTCCAATGAAGTGCTGACTGTACGTGTGTTGGGATTCACAACCACACCACTCCCTCATGATATGACCTCTATGCAGTACATAACACATGTACAGTTTAATCATATCACTTTGCTCCTTGTCATGTCTGAAATCCTCTCTGTCCCCAAGCCAGTATTTTTTGTACTTGTCTGTTTCCATTTTACAGTTTCCATGAAAAAAATTACTGAGAATGTACCCAAAATAAGAACTTGCGCATTGTAGTCAGATGCAAAATTTTTTGCAGAGTGTTAAGAGACTCTTTCTGTTGACCATAAAGAGACTAGAAAGCAGTCTTTGGCACAACCTAGGCAGCACTGGGAGACATAGAGGTCTGTGAGGCCGTCGCTTGATTCTGAGTGGCTTGTAGGTGGCCACTGCTATGGGAGAAGCTGTACAGTGTCTAAATAATATTGTTTAAAGATACTTGTCACCTAGAAGGACCTTTTTTGTTTGAGTTTTTTTTTTCTGATTGAAAATACTTCCATAGCTGGATATTAAGTGAAACAAAAGAGTAAATTTGATTGCTATCTATCACACTCAAGAAAAGCTTCTAAATGCACAATTGTCATCCTAAGCATGAGGTAGCTTTTGGTTTAGGATCCTAAATATAACAATTGCTTCTATTAAAGCAAAATGTCTGAGCATTCTTAGTTTTCAAATACCCTTTCATCTGTCATGGCCCATAATTTATGCTAGTAGAAGTTGAATTCTGGTAAAGAATGCAGATTGGACTAAGCAGTTAGTCTGGGTTGACAGCTGATGCTTTTATTTTCATATATTGTATGAGAACTGAAAAGGTGTAGCTGCTTTTGTTTCTCTCTTACGAGCATGCATTCTGTCATTTCCATAAATCTGAAAGCTTCCAGTACATTGAAAAGACCTGAGGAAATGCAGCTGGATAACTTATCTTGAAATTGTGGCTTTAATTGCTTCAGTAGGTTTACCTCTTAAAACCACTTTACTGTTAGAGGCAAACTTTTTTTTTTGAAAGTAATGTTAAAGCACATTGAATGATAGTTTTGAGTATTGATGATTCTGGATTAGCAGTGCTAACCAAGTTTGTGTATTATTTTTCTAGACTTCAGTTTATTGTTTGCATTTCATATTCTCTTGTTGGTATTAATTTGCCAATATTGGATGTGGGTATATGTCAGGTTTTTCCTGCTGATACTGCCAAAATGCTTTTCTGCAAAATCACTTGTTTGAACTCCCTGTGGTGTAACAAACAATCCAGAGAAGTAGTCAGTTTTCATGGTTGGACCATCCTGCATTGCCTGTAAACGGTCCTGATGAGAAGTGAAAGGAAGGCAGGCGTCCTGAAGCCGCTGTGATGCAGACGTTGATGACCCTCTGTGGAAACCCTTCAGCGTTCTCTACATCTCTTCTGGACAAAAGGGCTGGTTTGGTTGTTCCAAATGATCTCCCTCCCCTGGAAGGCCCATTTACTTTGTGGTGGGCATCACAACATTGGTTTCAAAAAGGCGTTTTGTTATTATACATAAAGACATTTGCTGTTGGATAGGCAGTTCATTTCTGGCACTTTCCTGGAAGAGGTGTGATCAATGCCATGAGAAGCACTGCTAGGCTTCTGCAAGGAAACGGAGATGTGAGCCCAATCCCAGCAACGGGCCGTGTGGGTGTGTGGTGGCAGAGCCCCAGCGCGGGCTGGGTACATGACCACAGTAGAGGCATTCTCAGCACCAGCTGTACCAGGTGAGTCATCTGCAGTTGGCCACAGGTAAGACTGTCCCTTGGTTGTGGGGCAAGGAAGGGCCAAAAAAGCAGATAGCAACCTATTTTCCTGCTGTTGAGAATTTCATGCAGACATTTAACTTCGTATGGCAGCTTTTTCAGCCCTGGCAGCTCGTTATGCCCATGGTCCTGGAGCCAGCATCCTGACTCTTGTCCTCAGCAGGTGACAGTAGAGCTAAAATCTTTACAACAGGCCCCTACTACCCAGCTTTACTCTCTTACAAATCAGGCATTGGTGATCATTTTTCACTTCCAGTGCATCCAAATAGACTTTGAGACCTGACTGAGTCATTTATGCACAACTTCAAAATCTATGAGATCACCTGGTGAATATTCAGCACCATTCCCAGTTAAAATATAGACTCAGCATCTCCTCCAGCTGTAGATGATGTAGGGGTTGGATGCACACAGGAGGACTAACTCAAGATTGCTGTGTCACCCAGTGATCTGTTGCCTTCATTTTCATCTGACAGTGCTTTATGTACATCAGATTACAGGGAGCTGAATGGAGTACTGAAGGCCAGCTGCTCAGAAGGTAAGACAGACAAGAAGCCACAGTCCATCTACACTGGGAAAGCAGGGCTGGAGCTTCCTTTTTCAGGTGGTGACAAATCGACCTCATTAAAATTTTATTTTTTATACTACGAAAGCTATATGCAACAAGCCCCATCATTAGAGACTGCTGTCACCACAAGTGCTGGCAGCAAAGCCTGACTTATGGGAATGGATGAACAGAGCCCAGAACAAATCAAGATGAGTTCAGTTTCTAGTATAAACGCCTCCTGCAGGTTTAAGAAAAAAAAAAAAACAACAACAACCCAGGCTAAGAGCTGGCATAGTATTTCAGAAACCCATTGGTATCAGGGCAGGCTGCTTACAAAGCAGCTGGTCTGAGAGCAATGTGGTAGTGCACTGGTGCAAGCAAGGACAATATTTACATCCATTTATATTCATGTCACAGCATGGATTCTTAATACCCTTCCTGCCAAACCTTGCTCAATAGTCCATTTGGAGAACCTATGGATCAACTTTATTTTTAAAAATTTGACATTGCACTCTGCAGTGGGAAAGTGATTGAAAAAGGTGGCCAACAGAAAGTGCTATTTCCCGTATTTTTTCTGTATTTTTGTACCTTGTTGTCTGCTGTGTCATCGAGTTCAGCTGTCACCTCTGAAACTGTCACATTTTGTTCTAGCTAATTGCCTGTGATAAAGGCTACAGAATACAAATATAACTATTGCTTATGGTCCTTTGGCACCAAAGAACTTGTTGTATTGCCACAGTGGGAAATGCTGGGTTATAACCAAACTTCATTTGCAAAACAAATGTGTTTTCTTGGATTGACTATTTTTCTTGCAGACGACTTGGAAGGAAGCAGTTCCTGGGGTGAACCTTCAAAGGTCAATACCTTCCTGTTGAAAGCAATTCCTGTGTGTGACAGCTATCATCTTGCTTCCCTATTAACTTCAGATAATGGTGGAAGAGACTGGGTCTGTCTCTGCTTGCAGATACTGGGTTTGGGGCTGGCTGGAGCAGAGCACTTAACCCTGCAACCCCAAAAAGTCATGTTGAGGCAGGATGACATTTGGCCAACTCCCATTATGTCCCTTCTCAGTCAATAAGGTGAAAATAGCAGCTGCTTCCTCATTTGCACATATTTAATTTCTTTAATTTCAGATGAGATTCCTCATGTAGATGTAGAGACCTTGCAAACTTTTATGCAGGGGGCTACTAAGCAGGATTTCACACAGGGTCTTCAGGACTTAAGCAAGCCACTGGCAAGATATTGGCTTAGAGAGAGTGGGTGGGTGGGGGCCTGCAACGCACCCAAAGGGCCCTGCCCCCCACCCCCTTCTAGATATTGTACCTTGCATGATGGTACCCAATATTAATCCGGACTAGCCCTCCCCACAGCAAATCTCCAGGGGTAGATAATCCCGTTGCAAGCTGTCCCTTTCCACCCCTGGAGGGCCCTGAATTAGGTCAGACTGGATTAAGTTTGCATTTTATTTATCTAATTTTTTTTTTTTCGTGCTCGTTACACGCACACTCAGGCTCGGAGGAGGCGGGGAGGGAGGCGGGGAGCGGCGGGAGCTTTAGCCGATGGCAGTGTCTGATGCCCGGCGGCGGATGCCAGCGGCAGCCGGGCGATGGCGAGGAGCCGGGCGGCTTACGAGTACACGGAGGCGGAGGACAAGAGCATGCGGCTGGGTTTCCTCCTCATCGCCGCCGGCTTGCTTTCCCTTTTGGGTTTGGGTTGTTGCTGGCTTCGCCCGGCGCTGCAGGAGCGGGGCGGCGGCGGCTCCGCCAACTGCACGGTGCTGGCGGTGCGGCAGCTGGGGGAGCGCTTCGCCTGCACCTTCTCCTGCGGGGCCGCCTGCCGCGGCACCGCCCGCTACCCCTGCCTCCAGGTCCTGGTCCGCACCTCCCGCTCCTCCGCACCCGCCCTGCTCCACGAGGACGAGCGGCAGCTCCGCACCAACCCCAAGGTGAGACCTGCGAACGCCCTCCTCTCCCAAAATGCGGGGTGGTGGGTCCCGCCGCGGCGATGGTGTCCTTTCCGTGGCCCCGGTGCCCGCCTGGGGCGTCCCGGTCCGCGGCAATAGCCCTCTGTTCGGTGCGGGTTTTAATCTGAGGGGCGGGGGGAGTGGATGAAGTCCCGGAGCATCCCTCCAAAATACCACTCTGCTGTTGCTCAGCAAAACGTAGTATATCTCTATAGTGTGTATATATATTTCCCAAATCTTCGTTCGCGAAGCCTAGCCATGAGTATATATATATATATGTATATGTGTGTATATATATATACATACGTACTCTACAGAGTGCATCTATATGTGTTGTGTGCACATACATATCTAGCATGTCAGGAGTGGTTTAGGCTCGATATTAGGGAAAGGTTCTTCACCCAGAGGATGGCACTTATAGGCTCCCCGGGAATGTGGTCACAGAAACAAGCCTACCAGAGTTCAAAAAGTGTTTGGACAATACTCTCAGGCACATGGTGTGATTCTCGGGGATGGTCTTGTACGGGGCCAGGAGTTGGACCCGATGATCCCTGTGGGTCCCTTCCAGCTCAGGATATTCTGTGATTCTATATGGCATAGTATAACATACTATCAATGTATAATGTATAGTATACTACATACTATACTACACTATACTATACACTATCCTAAGTACAGTATAATGCTATATACACACACACACTCTATAAATACGCACACACACTATATAAATACACACGCACACACACACACACACACAAGCACGCACTTCGCGATCAGCCCCATTCATTTCCAGCCCAACCCTCCCGCGTCCGGAGCGCAGCCCTCGGGCGGAGCGCAGCGGGAGCAGCGGAGGCTCAGCTGCCGTTCCCCGTCCCGCTGAAGCCCCGGGACGCCGGCGGGGAGCCGGGGAGAAATTCCTACTGCCGGCGGGGAGATCTGTCTGCTCGGGCAGTGCCCGATGCCGCTGCGTGATCCAGAGGGTGGGGGGCTTCCTAGAGCAACTCCCCGAAGCGCAAGGGGAAGTGTTAACGGAGCCACTGCCGGCGGGGCGTCGGGGAGAGGGCTGCGCCGAAGGAGCAGTTTCCTTCATGCTGTTTTGATTCTTAGACTTCTCCATCACCCACATGAAAAAGGACAGAATGGAGGAGTCCTAAAAATTGCATCTTACAGCAAACTGGGGTAGTCTGAAGGCAACATGTGACTTGTGCTTTCTCTTTCTTTAAAGGCAGTTATTCTACCTTCTCCTTTTTCTTTTCATGTTGGGTAAAGATGGCCTTGACAGAATGCTGCCTGAATGAAGGAGATTTTATTAAGTAGTTTCCAGAAGAAAAAAAAAATGTAATGGAATCCCCCTACCCGTGAAAGGACTTCAAGTCTTGAGTGTATTGGAGAAGGAAATGTCGGTTTTTTGACTGAGATGTGGATGCAACACAATGTCAAGGGGCATGTTAAGCACGATGCAGGGGTCTGCTTGCAGGGGCCAGATAGCAGGCTTGAGTGTCCAGCTGGTATGTGCAGCCTCACATCTCCTCAGTCATACTTGCACTGATCTGGCTCTGTCCCTTGGAAGGTGGATTAAATTGCAAGCTTAGGGTTTGAGGGTTGCTTTTTTCCCCTTGACAGCTTGTGGCCTTGGAAGGGTGGTTGGGGCAAAAATCAGCAGAGTAAGAAGCAGGATGGTAAATCTGCAAGGATTTGGATTAAATTTTTGGCACTGCTCAGAAATGATGAGTGATGAAGCTGCAGTGCTGGATGGTGCCCCATAGCAGCTTGTGAGGGAGCTTTGCAAATTTCAGCTTTCCCTGGGAGTGCTGCTGCCAAACTCCCTGTGGTTACAGAGATGTGCTGTGAGTGCCTCAGCTGTCTGAGCTCCAGAACTTCACTAAATATCTCTCAATTTTCAGGTGGGCAAGGGGTAGTTGGTAAAATGCAGGAGAAAAAGCCACCCTTTCGATGTGGGGCAAAGATGACATGGTGCTGCAGAGGGTGCAGCTCTCCCTGAACTCCCTGGGCTCTCCCTGAACACGGCCCAATCGCCCCGTTGTGGCCACGTCCAGCAGGGATGGGAGGTGGAAGATGGGAGGTGGAAGATGGGAGGTGGAAGATGGGAGGTAGGTGCTGAGCCATGCCACCAGAATGACTGGGCTCAGCAACTCCGCCAGCTTCTGCAGTTTCAGCAGAGGCTTTCAAATTAGACTGTGACCACAGTAACTTTCTGAGTGGTCCAAGTGTTTTGTTTTTACTTCTTGATCCTGTTTTCTTCTACCGTTCTGGAAGTCTGGTGGGAAGAGAAGGATTACACCTGCCTGGGGGCTGGATTGCAATTCTGCAGGGAAGCACCCAGAGCTTCAGAAGTAATGCCTGTAAATGTCACTCAGAAACCTATTTTTATTTAACAATTAATTTTATATTAACAATTGATAAAGAAACAGGGCTCTGTGTTGGCAGCGTGGTACTTGCATGCTCTTACAAACATAATCTATTTTCTTTACCTTCCTCCTTGCATCTCTAGATGTGGGCTGTTTACGCTGCCTATTGATTGTTGAGGATTAAATCTGATTTACCAGATGAGCCCAAGCTGAAAGGATGCATTTTTTTTGATGTAACTGCATTCTCTAGTAGTAATTGAATTTAACTAAATGGAAAACTACATAGGAAAAAAAATGTGCTCCAATTATTTTCCCTACTTTAAGAAGCTTGTGTAAAACCAATGGAAAATAAGAAGAAAAGTTGTTTAGGTGTCATCAGGAAAACATACTGTTGTAAGGAACTGAAGTCTATTTGTTGCTTTGGTTTTCCCTTTTTTCTGCTAGTTCAGTGTCTGTGGAGCCAAACAATTATACTCTCCTTTTAATTTTTGTTTTAAAATCTCACCTTCTTTAAAAGCTTTCAGGATTTTATGTTGAAATATATTAAGCAACAGAGTAGGAATCTGCTGAATCTAATGCTCAGGATCCAGTATGTATTTATGAATGAACACTTAGGGATTCATTAACCCTTCCTGTTCCCATCACCTTCTTGCAGTATGCTTCCTTGTGTTCATGCAATTTGACATACAACGTGTTAAGCAGTTCCAACTATCTGTAAGGGGAAAAAATGACCAGTTTTGCTTTGAACAGTCTTTAAATTTTATGTTCTGTTTATCTACTTCTCTTTGTAGGGTAGCAATTTTCCCCTGTAAATCAATAGTGTGGAAAAGGCATAGTTCAGGCTCCTTACAACACACAATGCTGAATTAGTTGGCAGCTTCACACTCCCAAAAATCCCCAGTGCATTGAACTAAAAACCTTCTATTTTCTGTAGTAGAGTGGGCTGGCACTTCAGCATATTGCAGCTATGAATCTGTCTGTTCTAGCGAGGAGAAAACTGTTCTAGATGCAGGAACAATAATTTTTTTCCTCTCTTGCTTTCTAAGATAATCACATCATTGGACAGCCCAGGATTCATTTTAGCTCTTAAAAGATTATATAGCTGGGTCAGAGTTAATCCAGGAATGTATATAATAAAGCACCGGACATGATTACATTTGTGTTTAGTCCAAGAGATTTGTGGATTTCTTTATTTTCTTTTTTTTTTCTTCTTCTTTTGATTGCTGTCTCAGAGGAAGAAATTTCATTGGAGTGACAGTAGCCTTTCTTCAGCTGCCTTGATAGCAATAACAATCTCTGAAATAAGGCTTAAGGGGGATTAATTCCAAAGTCAAGTTGTCGCTATCACTCTCTGGCCATCAAGTAAGTCGGCAAGTGCATACAACCAGTGCAGGGACCAGGCTATAAATTTGGTTCGGAAAAATGACAGGGGAGTGTGTCAGCTGCTAAAACAGTTTACTTTCTGGCTTTTTAGACTTTTTCCTTCCTATATTTGAAGTTAAGAGTAGGGTCAGAAGAACTTGCCCACTGTTTTGCCAAAGAAACTTTTATGGGAGTGACTGATAAGGCAGATGTTAGCAGCTCTGCAGCAGGACCTGGTTTCCCCATCCTTGTCCTTGGGCAGGGTAGCAGAGCAACCAGCTACCGCTCCTTGTCTGCACTCCACATCTGCCCGTGCTGCTGTCATGCTTCTTTCTGTATCTGCTCCACCTGACAAGATGATGTGCAATTATCTCTTCTGTGCACTTGTAAATAGAACTGGGATTGACTTTTGGACTCCCTTAAATATGACCCATGACAGAGGAGGTTCCATAACAAAATATGCCCAACTTTACAGTAATTATGGGAGGGTCTGGTGCATCTGGTGAAGCATCAGATCTGTATTTGGGCTGGTACCTGTGATGGGCAAACTATGCAGATGCTGCCTAGCAATTCCTCTGGAAACAGCCCCAGGGGCCATGGATAAACCTCACCACCCACTTATCTCACCTGGGGCACTACTCACTGCCTCAAGCCTCTGTGATGAGTTGTGGGTTTGGTCACTCCTGGTGGGTTGTGCTGATGAAGCAAGGTGATCATCTGTGCTGACAGATGCAGGTGAAAATGAGGCATGGTGCTCAGTTCTAGCTCCCTCAGGACACCCAGATGGAAGGGGGCAATTTTTTTGTATTAATGGAGTGAGTCCACCTGCTCATCTCCTTCTACAATAGGATGGTTGTGGCAGCACTTCTTCCCTTCCATACCATGAAGCTCCCCCAGTAATGCATGGAGACACACAAAAATTTAGGAGCTCATATATGGTTGGGGGGGGGGGGGCTGACCCTGGCTGGACTTCAGGTGTCCACACAAGACACTTTATCACTCCTCTCCTCAGGTGGACAGGTGAAAGAAAATATAAGAAAAGGCTCATAGATCAAGATAAGGACAGGGGGAGATCACTCACCAGTTACTGTCATGGGCAAAACAGACTCAACTCAGGAATATTAATTTATTGCCAACTAGATAAGGGTTTTGTGTAGAAAAAATCAAATCTAAAAACACCTTCCCCCAACCCTTCCCTTCTTTTGGGCTTAACTTCACTCCTGATTTTCACTACCTCCTGCTCCCCAG